GGGGGGGGAGCAATCAAAAATTGTATACAAGTCAGGCCTTAGTACTGAAATATACTGCACTCCTCTTTTCAGGTAATTACTATATCCCAGTTTCCCATCCAGACTCAGCATTTATCAACTGTAATAATGAGATCACCGAAACAAATGGCAATGTATGAGGATGAAAGTGTTACCTAAAAACATTTATTAACTAATTTTTCAGAGTGCTTTTTTCTTCTGAGTCATTCTGCTTCATGAGCATGCATGAAATTCTGTTTTGCTATTCTCCTAGGATTTCCTAGGCTGCGTTAAAGGATCGCCATTCAATGTAACTGTCTCTCAAACATATTTAACGGTTCCCAGTTCCTAGTAAGCCACTAAAATGGTCTGTTCTTTGCTACAAAGACAAAAGGGAATTCTCTAAAGCCCCTTAAAAGCAACTCTGTAAGGTTTTGCAAACATTCTACAATAAAATACAGAAGACGTACGCTACATAGCTATGGATATAGCTTAAGATGCATTCCTTGGGGAGTAATCAGAGATCAAGTTTCAAAATTTAAAAGCAGCATTAAGTTTTGTAGCTTTTAAATAATCAGAAAAAAATAAAGAGCATCTACTCGTTTCAATGCAAGAGTAATCAAAACATCAAGCACTGCTATTTTACAGAATTTAATTAGAATTGTAAAAACAAATCACTAGTCTTTCGCACCCAACGATATCTACTCGAGACTATTCTGTGAACTCTTCAGTAGACTTCTCCCTAACAAAGCCTCAAATTCAATGGGGTGTTTTAGTGCAGTAGTAGCACTCTCTTACGTTCTTTTGGACCCAGCTCTGCTACATTTAGTGGTATCACTGCAATCATTCTTTAACAGACACTGAAGCAAGAAATTTCTAGTAATAGGAACAACGATTAAACAACATATATTGAAGGTAAGCTATAAATAGTCATTCAGCAATATTCTGCCCAAGAGAAATTAAAGAATTTGCTCTGAAAAAAATGCAATATTTCAAAAACATATCAGAAACGGCTATGTTAATTCAAACAGCGTGTAGCTTATAAATAGCTCTGAAATGAGTGTCTGGCGCTAGAATACATACCAGCTACTGAAGTGGGTCTACGGGGAGTGGGTGGAGGTGGTCTAGAAGGCCTGGGAGGTCTGGAAGGTTTATAGTTTCCGTTTGTGAGTAACGGTGAATCACTGCCATTAACAGTCTTGTTTTCATTAGCAGCTGCATCTTCACAGCTTTCAAGGCCATTCGAGTTAGTCCTTTGCAGGAAAGACAGAAAGGAGAGCTATTGTAAGAATTTATTGAAGACATTAGATTTTATGGAAGACATTAGAACGCAACCGCTATGACAAGGTGAGATTCTTACGCTCATTACAAAGTATAGAAACCTGTCATTACAATATATTTGTATAAACATACTAAGAGTTTATCTCCTGAGGTGTATGAGGCATCAATCGATGAAAAGGTTGTGAAAATACATATATTATTAACATCTATTGCTGAAACTTTCTTTTTCATTTCCCCATTCAATACACCTGCCCTTAGGTCCAGCCTCTGGATTTTGCTGCCGAGCTGTTTCCTCCCATGAACTCTGCTCATCTCTAACGAGTCAAGAAGCTGACTAAGACCTGGGAATTGCCTGCATGTGCTTGCCCCACAGAGCTAGAACATGCTCAGAGCAGACAGCGCGCTTGAAAATTTTAGAAGACTTCATTAAGCATACTCAAATTTCCCCTAAACTGAGTTCTGGAAGTGCCTAGTTTTTGTTGTTTTGAAACTATCAGTCTGAAGCAGAGCATAAGAGAGTATTTCAGACTTGAGCGTTGAAGGTTCAACAAAGAGTTGTGAATTACTATCCTCATCTTTTCAAGCCTTCAGAAACTTTAAACAACAGTTTTTATCCATTCTGTACTGTTCAGCTATGTATAGCAATATAGTATTCTGATATACTTGTAGCTCCATAAGTAAAGTTTCAGGTATCTGAATCCTTATATCTAAAGCATTTCATTTTCAGAATTAGCATGTTCAACAAAGTAAAAGGACAATCAATTAAAAATTCTAGTGGATTGACAGCTCAAATACACAGGCCACTAGTAATAAAACTGTAAGTTACGGTTTCAGCACAAAACCTCTAAAATCCATGTAACACATCCATTTAAATGTACACAAAATAAAACCAAGTAGGTAGGCTTAATTTAAATCATTAGTCAGAGATCAAGTAAAATCATGTATATTTGACCTCAATATCAAAATGTCAAATATACCTTTGTTCTACATCTGGTATGGTGCACATGACAGTTTATACTATACCACATCAACCCAGAAGAAATGTAAATGACTGTGCAAACAGGTACTAGTCATTAGTGACGTAAAGTTTGCAGGACCTATAGCCTAACTTTTCTCAGCTGCAGAAAGCACGGTGCAAAGAGCACAGAATATCACAGTCCAAAGCTTAACCTTTTACCTGTCATATATTTGACCTGTCAGCTTAAGGTATAATGATCCATATCAAGACTTTTTTATACTTATAATAACAAGCACTGCTAGACATACTGCAGGTTCAGATCATTGACATAAGTCCACTTTGAAGATCCTTTGTATGGTTTTAATGAACACCAAGAACTTCACTGGTTGGTACTAAAACTAGGCAGCTATTACTACTCAAACACCCAGGCATTCCGAATGCCCAAGCATGGAAAACATTCTTCTGAGGGTGAACAGAAACAGAACAAAAATAAAACTGTCACGGGAAGACTCTAGATGACGTAGCTAAGGCAATTACATTCGTGATCTATAAAAGAATGGTGAAATTTAACTCAGTTGCTCCAGATGTCATCCAAGAGCGTAGTGCATTGTACAGAGCGTCAAGATATTTGTAGTACTGGAAAACTAACTGAAGTGGCACTGAGCTCACTGCAGGTTAATCTATCACGGAGCACGGTCACGCTTTCATCCTCCCAAGCAGCAGGACACGTAATCCCGTGTGGAACTTAAAAAAGTGCCAGAGCTAAACAGCTTCTGGTATCTGATTTAACAAAGCTAAACGTACTTCTAAAACTACCACACTATAAAAGAAACAATGTAAAAATACCTAGTGCCATTTACTCACCAGTGAGTGGTTTTTTTTGTTTTGTTTTGTTTTGTTTTCCATACAAGCTGGTCAACCACTGAGAATTCTCAAATAGGTCTTTCTATTTTGGGACACAGGAAGAACCTTAAGGACAGAGGCTATGTTCAACATACACTAAAACGAGAAATATCCTGTACCCTGGAGTGAGACAATCCCTTTTTAGACAGTTCTAAAATGCTGCTTGCTTAATTTTCCTTCACAAAAATAAGGTCTACTACTGCTCTACTCTCTGAACTAGTTTCTCACAGCGGAGACGATCAAGTTCAGAGATACAACCGCACGTCCGCAAAGCTTTCCACAGAATTTGCCTGTGATACTGAAAGAACTGCACTGAGGCCAAGAATTTTCAGAAGAGCTATAAATATAAGAATAATGCATGTGAAAAGAAGCAGATTTTTTAAAACTATAAATGCAAATTAATGTATGAGATTCAGCTTCATATCAGGCTTATTTCAGTTCTGTTTAAGACTTACATTTACTAAGCAAACCACTGTAGCATTAAAACATTATCAGTCTCACAGCTGTTAAAACTCTTAACGTGAATTGCCACCCTGATGACAGACACAGCAGAATATGCACACACTTCAGCTGCAAAGAACAACCCAGCTTAAACTGCCCAGAGAAGATCAGTTAAAGGTAATGTGCACTGATTGTGTACCCCTTCACCAATTTTGGTACGGCTCAGGGTAGGGACCAAATGAATTATTACTGGGATTATTCACATCTTAAAACATGCCAGCTTGATTTGCTACTGAACACACAATCTAACCCAAGCAAGTGCTCTGACACCAAAGGAGGTAAGTCCAAACAATTTTATAATAGTTTAAATAGTCAGTTAAATCGGAGAGATTGTGCATAAACACAGTATAGATCTGCAAAGAACAAGTTACCAAACTCAAGAGTCAAAAGCTTGACAGTATATTAGAACTGATACAATACAGCTTTGTTTAATGCTGGAAACAAGTTTCTATTCTAGTATGTTAAATAAAATGGTAATTAATTTGGTTTTTAGACACTTCGCATAGTTAAATAAATCCACATCCATAAAGCATTAGTTAAGACCTTTATAATACTGAAAAAAATGTTATGATCTCTCCAGTGTATTTTCTCCTAAAATAAAGCTTAATGGGGAGGTGGAGAACATGAATGGAAAAAAATCAAAAGACCATTCAGATATGGAGGTGAACCAAAGCTAAAAAATAGAGCTAATATAGAAAAGTAAATTTAGTATTTGAATGTACAATGGTTACAGTACTTTTGTTTAAGAATCTGCTTGGATCTTAACAGACGCTTTTGCAAGACATATTCAGAAATTTCCCTCCTGCCTTTTTTTTTTTTTAATTTAAATAATACATGCAACTCCTCTCTTTCACTCCTCTCTTTCTCTTTCTTTAGTGCAAACACTAAAAAGCTGTACAAAAAAAGAAAAAAAAAGTGTCTTACCTTGCGTCATTCTTTGCTCTGGAGGTATCATTCTGTGCAGGACCTTAAATACCAGAAAGAAAAATACAACAAAAGCATAAGCAACATTCTGAATGATTTTCAAGTTAAAGAGCAGTCTTTAATGCCCAGATTTCTTTCAGAGGGTGAGGTGCCTACACCACATGCTGCTTCTCTATAGTCTCATTTCAAGACTGTGTATATGCATTCATTTTTTTAAACTACTGCTGCTGCGAAGTATAAAAGCAGTAATATTTTTCTCCTTATGGAAGATACAACAGGACATTATTTAACTGTACGAATATTCCAAAGTGCACACAGTTCAATGATAGTCTATCCTCTCTTTGTAGCATTAACAAGAGTTTTATCCATTCTTCGAACGGATCTGGCTTTTCATATTTTCTGCCTTGTTTTGATGATGATAGGGAAAGCAAGTAGGACAACTTCTCTAAAAATCTTCTCTCCAGTTGGCTGGCCAGAAACTGCAAGGCCTTTGCTTTCTGGGGCGCTCTATCCTGTACCCTTCCCTTGCTCTGTAAATTATTTAGTGTAAGGGCATTCAAGCAGGTGCACCATCTGGCTGCTCACCAAACAGAGTTATAGCAGCTTAGCCCAGATCTGCAAACATTTTGCAACTGCTTATTCAGCTACCTTGCAAATATTTGCCTTTTGTGCCAGCATTCATGATACTTGAACATGCAGCACTGAATCGCTCGTTCACACAGACGGCACAAATACTTTATTTCCACAGAATTAAATGGATGTTATTAGCAAGGAAGTCCGTTACCAATTTTGATGGGAACTACGTACAGATCCAAGCCAAAGAGAAGAATGTAGTCAAGTAAAGGCTATGGTAATGTGAAGTTAATGGGCCACACAAGGAAGTCATTTTAATTCCAGAAACCGAACTATCTTAATTTAAGATTTTAAAGGCTATTGAGTAAATAATATAACCGTGCTAATTCAATATTCCTATGACATTTAGGTGGAATTTGAAAGCAACTTCCTTTTTAGTCTTTGAAAAGAAACAGAAACCTAAGAACTGCCTTGCTTTAATAAGCCAATGAACTGCCTAGCTGGCTGCTACAGGAGACAGCATCTCCAATGCCAGACTCTTTTGGGGAAATAATCTCTTACCTATTCCTAACTTGCATTATGCATTACTCAAAACAGTGTTATTCTTTTGCCTGCTCTGAACCAATGAATTGAAAACTCTTAGTTGTTATATTAGTATATCTTACACTTATTCTTCAAGATTTTCCATTAAAAATTATACTAGTTATCCGAGACTGAAGATTCCAGCAAAACAGGAAGATTAGTGATCCCTCTCTGCAGCACTCCACAGGTAACAAAATCTACGAAAACTTTCACATAAATTAAAAGACATATTTAAAGAAGACACATATAAAACTGACTTTTCCAGTCAGTACAATACAACCTCCTATTATTCTGAATTTAAACTGACTTATTTTATACTGCTCTTCTATCTATGATGTTCTAAACACTGAGGGGAACTAGAGGCTTTCAGTCAAGTAAGGCGTAAAGGTAGTTTGGATAAAGTTAGCACCATCCGAAAAATAAAGATGTTGATCCTATTTGTACTACAGTAAGGCTGAAAATCTTCACTGTGGACTGTGAGTCCACCTCATATAAAAGAATAGAAGAGTTCCATTCTTTATAAACATGAAGTTATACATGCTGCTGATAGTCCATTACTAAAACACTGTGTTAAAGCTTCCAGAAAAAAAAGCTTTGTATACCAGGGACTACAACCACCGTACACTTAAACTGAACATTACTTACTTCTTACACTTGAGGTGTCACCATTGGTTAGGAGCTCAGGATCTACCTGCATGCCATCTAGACAGACGGACAAGTCTCCTACCACTTCTGCTGGTTCTCTGTCACCAACAAGGTGCAAGGTCACAACTACCTGCTCAACTGAAAAAGTACATAAAAAAAACTGGAAGTTACCTTACTACATGACAAAAAAGTACATTTTATTCAAGAAGCAAATCACAGACGACAGCAATCAAGAAAAAGATCCCAGAATGACAGTTGTGTCCATAATTCTTTGTTACGTGTAAAATTAATCATTCCTAGATATCAGTAAAAAGATAATGTTTTTATGAAAAGAGGAAAACTGGAGCATAAACCCATTGCTACTTAAGGAAAGGATCATCATTACAACAGAAACTGAGACTCAAGGTTCTGCCCATGCTTCTGAAGCAAATAGAACAGCTGTGCTCAAAAACCTAAAGTTAGGATATGTCATTCATATTTTTCTTCATTCAGGGCAGATATCAATTCTATCTTCAGACTAAAAGATTCCACATTCATCTAACCACAAGATGCACAGTTAAAACGAGAAGATTTTGTATTACCTCCCTAGACCAAAGACGCACGTAAGATAAATGACTACACGTTGCAGTGAAACACAATTGTAAGTAAGCATTCTTGATGAAATGGCTTGGAACAAAATTCACTGGATTACAGCAGGATATCTGGTGTCATGTAGAACAATGACAAAGTTACCTAAAGAAATCTTCACCCAGATTCAGCAAGAGAGTAACACTATCAGGAGAACAGCTTGCTACGATGCTACTAACATGATGCAACTACAATGCATACACTTGAAAGCCCAGAAGCAAACACTTCATTGAAGGACAGAAGGCAAGCAGGACAACACGAGGTTTTATGCTGTAGTAACATAAATTCTGTAATGGGGTGTGTAGCATTCTCTACTCCCCTTTCAAGCTTCACAGGATGCACGAACTGCCTAAAGGCTAAGTAGTTCTGAAATGCGTGAAATAATACAATATTACCCCCATGGTAACATAATCTGGAACCAGGAACACGTCAGAGTTTTTGGTATGTAAAAGGAAATATACAATTTTCAATTAGACTTTCACTCTTGCACATACTAGTAAAGTGAAAAACACCATATTTTCAACTGCATTTTTACTGCATTATTATGCAGTAAACTGCATAATATTTAAAACAACCAAAAGAAAAGGTTATACTGAACAAGTGTGAGAAAGCTCTTAAATGCAATCTGTAGTAGCAGAAGTCTGTAGCAAAGGGAATTCCTAAGGCCCACTAGGGTCTTTAAAGATTCGCGCCCAGCACTCAAATTTACAGATGATGTCTGATAAATTCTGTTCCAAAGTTACTTTTCCTCTTATACTTACGTTTCATACTGTTTGATTTCAAAGTCTCATGAATATCCAAAGCAGCACTTCCCAGAAGAACATCAGATTTTAGCGTCTGATGGCTCCAGACCCGAAAGTTTAATTTACTCACAGGGGTGACAATTCTGACAGGAGGAAAAAAAAAAAAAAGAAAAAAGAAAAAGAAAAAAAAAGGAAGTTGAACACTGAGTAATGGTATTTGTTGAATACCATGTGCCTGGAACTGAACAATACTCTTCAACTGTCATTTTAAAATATTTTAAAATAAAGAAGCAATGGTGGTAACATTAAGTCCTTGCTAATTATGACCTTTTAATAGGCAGTCGTTGTCTTGTTATCATATAGGAAAGATACATTAAAGTCAAAATTGTTTCAAGATTGTTAATTTATAAAAAAAATTATCAACTCACAATTAGTATCTAAGTGTAACCAAGACTGGAAAAAAAAATGATTCTTGCAGTTTCACATTTCATGAGCATTCAGAGCATTTGTGCCTTGATATTAGAATTGTTCACATAGACAGGTAAGTCAACAAATTTGCTTGCTGAAGAGGTTATGTGAAAATTCAGGATTTTCCATAAAAAGGGATGTACAGAAAACTACTCTACGTATTTTGAAAGCTGGTTGTTCCTCTAATAAGCTGTCACATTCTTAAATCATGCTACAAACAAAGAATCAGGAATACATACAATTTAACATTTTTGCTAGCATACTTCTGGTTGCAAAAAATGTATTTCCTGAGACCAGAAGAGTACACCTTCCACGATTAAACGAGTCAAAGAACTTTCCTCATCATATCCAGGAGCAGGATGTATTACTTTTATGGTATTCCAATTTGATTACGTTCTTAGAGAACAGCAGGTTTCAGGCCTGTTTCAGTTTCTCTCCATTCCAAATCAAATAATTCAAATAAGAGTTCAACTGTTCATTTCCACTTCCCTTTCGCTTTCTCAAGGCTTTTCTTAAATTTTGAAGATTTGTTTTATTGATACAAAAAGGCGTTCCCTAAAGTTTTGAGAAGCATTATGACAGAGAAACAAATATAGGTCAATATTAGTTGCTCATGTTGTATGAACACATTTCTGTTTTTCCAAAAAATATCCCTAATAGCAACTTCAGGGTCATTTTTAATACTGATATTCCTTTCCATTTAAGAACATTCTAACATTTTGAAGTACTTTAATTGCTAGAGACAGGTGTACAAGCAGTTGCTTATTTTCTCAGCAGATCGTTTCACTCGCACACGATTGAAAAGTCCAGACTTCCACGCTCACAGCTTTTGTTTGTTTTTAACAGTTAAGCCCTGCAGGATATGCAGCTCCATCTAACAGACTGCCTTTTAAAAGGGGAAGCCATGGTCTGTATCACTTGCAGAAACCATCACTTTTTTTGTTGTTGTTCTGAACCTGAACGCAAGCAATATGCGTTTTATGAAACATTTTGACGCTTGCTCCACTAAGTTCTATGTGGCGCTAGCGGAATCTTCAATGAAGCTGAAATGCATTCTGTGTCTCTTTTCAGCACGTAGTGAGCAAAAATTGTCCATGTATGACTACATGACTTGGGTAGCATAAGCCAAAACTGTTTAAAAAAACACTCACAAAAAAAGCAGATTATAGAAGCTAAAGAAATCTGCTCTTGGAATCTTAGCACACTGGTGTGCATGAAATGCAAAAGGAACTTTTTTTTCCTTAAAATATTTCTTCACAGTAGAAATTTTAAATATGGTGAATTATAACAACTAACCTGAGTTAGCCTGAGTTACAAGAAATGCATAGGATCAGAGGTTTTCTATCACACAGGAACGTTCAAGGTGCCCCAAGACTAAACTTAAATTACAGGTTATTAAACAAATGAAGCAGCAGAAAAGTGGTGTGAGAACAAACTTGTCAGGAATTTTGTACGCGTGACCGCAGCTGGAAGTGCGCAAGATGGAGCTAACAGTGCTATGACATACTATATAGTCGGCAGTGCTACACAAACTATGCTATGTTTTCCAGCCATGGTATTTTCATAACACTGCAATTTTAAATATGGCAACAAAAACACACATGGGACACTATCAGTTTTATTATCAAGTTACCATGCTTTCGTTACTACTCATGCAATTAAAGCTGCTTTTACAGACCACGTACATTAATACACAATGCATTCCCTCTTAAGCACTGTGCTTTTCTATAGGAAGATTATGCAATTGTTTTAGAGAGATATACCGCAGACTATAGTATCACATTTGCTCCAGAAATTATACAGGAAGCTTCATAGCAGGTAAAACAGAACACATTGCTTAAAAGAAAAAAGAAAAAAAAAACCCAACCCTTAAGTCTGATGTCAATTACACAGCACTAATTTAGCTCAAATAATCCAACTGGAAAGCAAAACCATCAAACCTACACTGTAAGATGCTGCTTCCACTTCGGACTATTTGTATTGTTGCATTTTTCTGTCTTCTTTGACTGTCCATCTACTGAGACTTCCACGTAAGGGCTAGGTCCAAACCATTTATTTTTTTCTTTTAGTTTTGCTGAAATGACTGTGAACAAAGAATAACAATTGACTTAATGAGACTTCAACTGCAAGTGATGTTTTTCAGTTGGGTGTTTCGGGATCCAAGTGGCAGGTCACTGACACTCGACAGAAACGCTCAGGAGAACAAATACGTTAAACGCATGAAGGACTTACTCTTGCATTCCAGATCATTTTATACAACGCAATGGCTCACATGAAAGCCTAAAACATGCAACATACCTTTTCCTAGAGGATCAGACGCTATAATTGATAATCATTACTATAAGATCCACAAATACACCTGTGTGTTGAACGTAGAAAATATCCCCTACAACCTCACTAGCCAAGAAGTCCAAAACATGATCTGTTTCTCTCACTAAAGATTCATGGGCAACTGCTGCCACTTTTGGCAAAACTAAATGATTAAGAGTAAGGGAACGCTTTTTGTTTTAAGTTTTCTATAGCAAAGCAAACTTCCAGAAGAGTGGAAGGGCCAAAGCTAAACTCCGAGTTTCAATAACTACGCGCTTTCCGAGACAAAACAAAACCTGGACAGGACTTAGAACTCTAAAGAGCTTTACTCATGCTAGTGAATATATTATTGACATTAATGTCTGGACAGCAACCACCCATCATCCTTCACCTGTTTTGTTTTATTTTTAAACATTCAACATCACGGACTGAGATACTATCTTGCCAAACACCGTGATGCTGCTGCCTGCACTTAGCCAAAGAAATGTGTAGGTGGCACTTGCCCACCCTTAATGACTATTGAGTCACAGATAAGGAGTGTTTTTGGATTCCTCAAAAACACTAAGCTCACGAAACAGTACTTAAAACAGGTATATCACCATTTCTAGTTGGCTAGTGAACTCTGCTCTGTTCTCACAGATGACAACCTGGTCTCCTGTATTTTCATCATCTATCTCAGCTGCACTATAGGTTTAAGAAAAAGAGCAGACTAATTCAAGCCAATATGGCTAATCTACCTAGATTCCCTTTATAGTCTATGCTCCTTTAGAGATTTAGAGAATTAGCTTAGTATAAACTGCTCTGAACTGCTCTCAGGGGACCCTCTTTATACTAGAGATCCTACAGAAATTAGCTTCACCTAGGTAACGTTGGTCTTCATAAATAGCACTCCTTCAATTTCCCTTGCCTCACCAGTATTTAAACACTACAGCATCTCATGCCTCAACATCACTGGCTATCCTAAAACATTACGAGCTGGTTTGGCACAGTACAACTCTGCAGCCTTATACCTATTTTCAAGGATCTTATTTGCCCAGACAAGCTGAAAGCTCACTTAAAGCTATAACGGACACAGCAGAACTACATGGGGAGGGAAGGGTGTTCATAGAGCTTTCTACAAAAAAGGTAAAGCCTGCTTGCACAGGAAATAGCTTTCTTGCAGACTGTGGCTGAAGTCCTCAATGTGACAGCTAAAGGCAGTATATAATGTATGGAGTTTCACTCTCTTTTCTGTCTTAAATTTCACACCTATTTTTGATGATTCTTTTCATCTTCATGATATCAAGTTTGTGAGACTTCTGCATATACCCACATATCTTCCATAATTTGCAGCTGATGCTTCTAAGGATCTGCATGCATCCACAGATCTCCCACTCCCATGCCTCAGGATTCATCCTTGATACTTCAGCAATATTTGCCAGGTAGAGAGCAAGGGAGAAAACTTAGCGCCAAAGTTTCAACAGCTCCTCTGTTGAGGGGGCACTACAAGAAGCATGCTATGTAAACCCATGCCCATGCAATCTAAAGGTGCTCACTTACAGTAATATTCTCATTAACACTTTGATTAAAGCTCCTTTACAATGGTAGCCATAAAAACATGCTAACAAATGAGAAACAAGAAGTCAAACTTGATAAACAGCAGTTCAGGTTCACTTAGCTTGAGATGTATAAGCGTTATTAAATGAAAGTGTTAGATTCAACGTTAGGCCAAGTAACAGAAAGGAATATATTACATTCTCACATTGAAAAGAGATTTGTTCTGCATATTTGACTTAACAGCATTCAAAAAGAATTCTCTCTCTCTTCCTTACAGGAAAACCTTTCATTTCAAAAAGGCACTTCAAGTAAAACTCTGAATAAAATAGCAATGTTTCTGCTAAGTCATGATGATCTAACACCAGCATTTTAACCAGAAGAGAATATATTCTTTCAAAAGACTTACCAGTGATTTGCAGCTGTGATTTCATAGAAAATCCACTGGCTGATCCTGATCTGGACCCACTGCCAGCCATAATACGGGCTGGATCTTGAAATCTGGATGAAGAAGAAATGTAAACATTTTAAACCTCAGAACACCTAAAAACCAAATGATCTACTTTTTGATGTGCAGATAATTACACTGGAAGCAAAACCACCACACTTGTTTTCTTCCTAGTTATTCTGTACTCTGAGAAAACAGAAAGCATAGTCCACAAAGTGCCTAGTCTCTACCAACTCATCAACTGCAAACATTCATGTCCTAGGCAAAAAAAGTCTTTTGATTTTTTCCTCTTAATTTCCCAATTAACTGAGCATGAATGACATTCAAATCTTGGCAAACTTTATGGTACCTCGTGTGTCTGAAAATATCTGCCATTTTCGAGGTCACAAATCCTGGATAAGTTTACCTACCCAAGTCAAGTTCTACTTGGTTTAAAACACAAAACCCATCAGGAGAGGAAAAAAGATTAAAAAGGAACCATTCCTTCTTCTTCCCAAATGAGATGAATCCTGCAACTTAAAAAATTAAAAAGTAAATTTAAAATTTAGAAAAGCCTTCTTCTATGCGTCTTTGCTTCCACGTCACCAGAGCAAACCTACAAATGTGGTTTGTAACTCTACAAAGCGCTCTCCTAAAGAGGAAATATATCATTTCTGAAAGAGGATGCAGCGGCCTCCATTTACAGCCTTCCCCCTCTACCATACTGCAAACCTCACAGCCACACCAGCTTGAGTGTCCCACCACCCTCTGCAAAACACACTGAAGTGAACAGATTCCTCCTGCACTTTGAACTTAACTCACTATCTGGTTGCAGGGGAGGAAGGGGGACAACTGGGACAAGATATCTATTAACAACAGAGTTACATGACACATAAATGAAATGGTGTAGTGTTTAATTTAAAACAAAGGTTATGTTGGAAATATCCAGACATCCTTGTCTCCTATTTGTTTTTAAAATGTATTGTCAACTTAACCTCCCTTAGCAGCTAAATATACTAGTAAATCTATGCGTTTGTATTATTATATATTATAATGATACTATGATTATATTAGCATATGATAAACCATGTAATAATATGGTATATCATCTATATTAGTAAATCTATAGCAGGATTTACCCAGAGGAGAATGAATAGACTATTAAAGACCCCAAATCACCAGCAAAAGATCACTTCCCTGCCAGATTTCACACTTCAGTCCCTCCCATGCCATGTCCCTTGAGCCACCTCTTTAAAGTCTCCCGTCTTCATAACCTGCTGCAACACCGTTCACCCACCTACATGTCCAGCTTATCTTTCTTTGGGCTCCCAACAGCTGAGAGACAGCGCATACTGCTAAGCTATTCTGAGGACGATCTAGCCAAACGGTGTGGCTAATTCCAGCGTGCAAAACTCCTGGCCTACTGCTGCACATCTTCAGTCTGCCATTAAATCCGAACCCTTAAGCTGACCAGGTTTCACATACTAGGGCCTCAGGTCATTCACTGTGCACAAGTGTTATTTCCAGCAAAGGAAGTAACACGTTAACTTAAGCCGCTGACGTCTGTAGCTCAAGTACAAAAGGCTCTACATACGAATTTCCCAACTGATAACAGCACGAACAGACTAAATAACAAGTGAACAAGTTACCATCTGCATGCCATGCAAAACAGAATTTGGAAAAGGAAAACAGATTTGAATATCACAAATTCCATTTTAGAAGCTGCAGCTTAAAGTAAAAGTCTATATTCTGTGACAATGTGAAATCAGTAACTCACGCGCATTTCAAAAGTGACAAAACAGGAAGTTCTTGCATGTTACAGCTTGCCAATACCTGCATTAGCTACCGGGGAACATGCCACCACCAAAAAAGCATACTAATAACTTGCTTCAGTAGCATACAGTGGTATTAATGGAATTAAGTGCTTTTAGTTACTAGAGCCCAAACGTGAATTACACAAATCTAAATCTTGCTAGAGTGTGAAAGTTTTTAATATAAGTATTTCAAAAGTAATCTAACATTCAACAGACTTTAGAGGACAATCCTTAATCCTGATCTTGTAATTAGTTCTACCAGACCTAAGTAGGTGTTACTGATGCTTTAAAAAAGCAGTTGAATAAAGTGTCTAGATCAATACAGATGCATAATACAGCCTAAAGGAGTTTACATTAAAGAAGAGATGCTATTTTCCACTTGGAGAAATAATATTGCACATAATACAAATACAGTTACTGAAGGGGATAATTACTTTACACTTGAAGTCATATAGTAAGCACACACAGCATATAACATCCACTCAGAAATAAGTTAAAGCTAATTTCCATTTATAAGCCTGAGAAATACACTTATTTAAATACTAGTAATATTTGATCCCATTTTCATTAAGTATATGCAGAATGACTAAAATGACTGTCCTGCAAACTCAGAAATCAATTAGTTGAGTTTGCACATGCATCTGCCCAAGTACTTACGTATGACCTGCAGTTTTTACTAATAATCAGCTTTAGTCAAATTTCAAGAAACTATAGCCTCCCAAAACTTTTAAAAATAAGAAACTACAATGTTACACACTGTTCAGTTCTCTCAGTAGGAGTAACATTTCCAATTATTTTTTAAAACATAAAACCGAAGAGTTATGTTTTATTGCGTGTTGGCTAAAATTCTGCTAATTTACGCTCAGTTGCATTAGTTAACCGGAGAAAGTTCCTGAGGAAGAAGCAGCAAGCAAGCTTGTGTCCTAGATCTTTTTGTACCAATCACCTGTGCCCTGCACACCAGTAACCCTATTTCTCCTTCCACGTTTCCTAAAACCTCTGACCCCTATTGCCTCTTCTAGTCCCCCCTTAACTACCAGTCGAAAAAGAGTCAGCAAGCAGCATAGCTGGTTCCAAGCCCCAGGCAGGCACTGCCAGGCATCCAACAACGAATAATTACTGAACTCGCATTGCACCTTTCCTCTCAGCTGGGCACCAATTTCAGTCTCTCTCTTGCCACGCATATGAAAAATCGGGAGAGAGCGTATAACTCATAGAAACGTAATCACCTTTTGATACCTCCCTCCCCATCAATTTTAGCTGGGATGGACCAACAAGTAACGAGGTTCGTGGGGTGACGGAGGAAGGGAAAAGGGAAGAAGAGAACGTAACGGGACAGACTGAGAGCGTAACTGCATAAACGTCGTTTCTTTGGGAAACGAGGCTAAAAATACTTTAACTATTTAAATAAGAATCCATGATGATTAAAGAAATAACATTTTGAAGGAGCCCAGAGAGATGGCAACCCTCTATAAATCACACACATCCACTTGATTTCTACTTTTACACTTAATCTTTCAGCACTTAACTCCCCTTGTGTATATTAGAAACTCATACTGAATACACTTACTAAAAAAAATTGTTTCCCATTTAGTTTTAATCTAAAATAGCTAATCTACCACTATGGTCTTTCGGACCGCTGACCTTAGCTGAAAGAAAAGGTATCAAACTTAGTTTCTTCATGCTATACGTGTCTTCTACACGTTCTTAAACTTTTATTTGTCTTATCCCTGTTATGACACCGACTAGCTAAAAGCAAGTTTTGTAGAAGTCTCATTTGTTTCCCCCCAGAAAGAAGCATCCACAGTTTCCACACTCGTACAGGGAAAAAGATCTGCCCCTACGGGTCAAAAAACAAGATTTTACAAGGTGTTCTGGCTGGACTGATCCCTGCAGTACTGAATCTTGTTCAAAATGAGACTTGTACATAAGTTTGATGCAGCATAGAGATGGCTTCAAGCACGGTGAAAAGCGCTGACCTTAAGATACAGAAGAAATATGTTTATTATACTGAATAAATTTGATGCAAAAATAGCACTCATTTAAACCATTGTGCACTTTTGAAAAAAGTATTTACAACTGCATAGGAAATTCCCATCACGATCTCAGAGATTAAAAATAACCCGATTCTTTTTCTGCAATTCCAAAATTTGCAACTCAGTCTGAAATGATTTACCCTTCTTCTCCATTCCCATCAACAGCAATAAGGATTTAGCCGTTCCTGGGCAGCCACAGCCTTGGGTTTATCTACAGCTGACTGGAACGAAAATGGCCTACACAAAAGTTGTAGGGGAAAAGCAGAAGTCCATTTTTGAAGCATACACAACATTTTTTCATCATAACTAGGCTGGGAACAAGACTTTCCATGCAAGCCTTTGTATCAGTTCCATTAAATTAATTTTACCTGCAACTTTAAAAATCAAACTGGATAGCTCTCACACACAAACTTCTACTATGATATTTTTTTCTTGGGTGCTCAAGGAAACAGAGTTTAGTTTACATTTTTAGTGAAAACATAAAATTGTGTGTGTGTGTGTTCGCGCACATGTTTATATAACAAAAAAATTAAATAATACTGATTGTTTTAAACACTTATTGAAATGGATTTTTATTAAAATATTGGCAATATTTAGGATTCTATCAAAAGAAAATGTGATTGCAGACAAACAGATGCGTGAGCGACCAGACCTTCACGCACACAGCTACGAACATCAACAAGTGTTTTAACTATACTACATTTCCAAACCCTTTACCACTTGAAAGGAATACAATGATTGCTTTGAAGCAACATTACAAACAATGATTTTATGAACAAAAGTGTCATTCAAGAAATCTTTAAAAAACAGGGGTATCAGCTTTATAAATTCATTGTAATGCAAGAAGTACTTCCATGAGTTGGAACTAATGAAGCACTATTTCCTAAAAACTGTTGTTTCTAGACAATTGAGAATGGCTACTCAAGTTATTTTTCTGTAGCAGAAGCAAACAGAAACACCTCTTCGTAAATCTTTTTAGTATCGGGGGGTGGGGGGAGAACTATAGCGAGCTCATACTATCATTTTTCTCCCAGTTGGGGAAGACAAAAGAGACAGGAGAAAAGACATTCAGAGCATGATTGTGTAAGCTTAATTTTCTGAGGAAATGAATTAAGACTACAAAAATTGTTTGGCATATAAAAAAGATATAACACCACAGCATAATTCAGGGCTGATATTTTCAGTCAGAAATAATCATTCAAACGCTCACAGGAATGACTTCAG